CGGGCATAACCGCCGCTGGGCTCCTGCCATAGCCATTACCTGCCAGGGCTGTGTAGGTGGCCGTTGTGACGTACTTCTCGCCCAGGTGAATGACACGTCTCCAAAGTGGCAGGCACACCTCCGCCTGCTGAGAGACGTGGACGCAGACTGTCGAAAGGACAGGGACTGCGCCGTCAGATAGAAGCTTCGTGAGGAATGCTCACGCGGCTCTTTCACAAGCTACTTTGTAGCGAGCTCAGAATACTTCAGGATTACCCTTAATAGAATTGGTCCTTGGGATGACTTGTCTGCTTGGGAGCTCGGGCGATCTAGTTCCCCTAGCTCGCGAGCTAAAGTTGCCTCGGAGTGTCCCTTCAAAGGTAGCTCGGGGAACCCGGAGCCTGTGTTGTGGCGAGCTCCTCCTTTTGTGAGCCACAATGTAGCGAGATGCTTTATGGGCCTGTCACTTGGTCGCACTAGGCTACAATGTTGAGTTGTCGCTCGTGATGAGTCAGTGTCCACGTGTTACCGTTTCATAGGTCGGGTCAAATTGTCCTCCATCAATTGCCCCCCACTCCTTGAGCTGAGAGCATTGCCTTAGCGTGGGAGTTCATGAAGCGTGATGGACTGATTTGAAAGGAATTCAAACTTGATTGACTACTCACATTAAATGCATTCGTGGGAATCAAGAGATTTTATGACTTTCCTGACTTTTCGGATTTCAAAAACCTGCTGAAGTGGCTCTTAACTCTGGGCATCGTGCGGCCGTCATTACCTTAATCCTGAAAGATAGGCCGCCAATCACCTTCAGTTTTCAGAAGGCGTGCGGTCAGTGCGCTTGCGAGCCGTTGGATCTGCTTTGATTTAGGCCGTCGATTTAGAGGTGTGGAGACTATAAATAGGAGGGCCCTCTGGGCCTCATTTTCTCTTGCGCCATCTTGCTGTCTTCGGATTCTGAGGTCACGCATTCATCTAGTCTACCCGAGTTCCTCAGTTTACTTAATTCCGTCTCTTCTGGTGAGTCCCAATCGCTGTCAACCATGTCTGGGTACCCATACCACACCTACCACCAGGGCGATAACCAGGACGACGACGCTCCCTCGAGTTCGGGGGGAGCTTGGGAGCAGGTCCTGGAGGCTCGGGAGGCCTTTGGTGATGTAGCATCTACCTCTCGGGGGAGGGAGCCTGACACTTTTGGCCCTTCCTCCATGATGGCGGAGAGGCTCAGGTCTCTAATTCACTACTTTTGCCTCCCTGGGGACATGCCCTATAGCCTCCCCACTGGCAACTTCCCTTGGGAGAATGGTCCCAATGACATAGTTATCTTCCAGGAACAACTCGAGGCTGGCCTGCGTCTCCCCCTGCACCCCTTGATAGTGGAGGTGCTAAACCATTTTAACGCCACCATCGATCAGCTTCATCCCAACGCCATTCGGAACATGGTTGGGACTATATCTTTGTGTCATGAGTATTGTCTTCCTTTGGACCTTGAAATTTTTGTTTATATTCTTTGTATAAAGAATGCCGCTCCCGGGGTTCCACCGGAGAGGCGCTTTTACTACCTCTCTCCCCACCGTGGCTATAAGCTCTTGTATGAGCTACCAAATAAGATTCCTGCTTGGAAGCGGGATTACTTTGTGGTCCGTAACCCTGAGGGGTGGCCCTTCCCAACTTCTTGGAGGGGCGCCATCCAGGATCCTAGGGTCGAGCTGGACCCCAAAATTCGGAAAACGATGCTGTCCTGGGCATCGGTAGGCTTCCACTGTTCGGACTACTTGTTCGAGGAGAAGCTCGTGCAGGCCGGCCAGAGCCCGAGTAGGTTGTCCTTTAAGGTCGCGTAGTTTTTGTCACGACGTTGTGTTCATATGCACAAATAACTCATTCTTACCGAGCTAACACTGACTTCTTCTTGGCAGCCATCATGTCTGGTACTCACACCGTCTTCTCTCGAGCAACCAGAGGCGCAGAGTGAAGAGGTCGCGCCCCGACCGGACTCCCACTTCTGGGGGCACTGAGTTCGAGTCTGCTGGACCAGACTTTGTTTCTCCACCGCATGAAGTTCCACTGACCCCATCTGAAGGAGGCGCCGGAGAGGGTGGCCTCGAGGATGGCGGGCTCCCGAGTCAAGGGGTGGTTCCTCCCAGTCCTTCCCGTCCATTCCCCTACCCGCAGTTCCTGGTAGGGAACTGGGAGGGGGTCAATGACTACATCGTGGCTGGGCGGAAGAGTTGAAGGGTGATCTATCACGAGGAGGTAGCTAGGTGGGGGGAGATGGAGCCCAAGGCACTCGCCGCGTTTGCCGCCTCCCACTGTATTGTGGTAAGTAGTCCTTCTCTTCTCTTCTTCTCATTGTTTCATTTCTTTTGTTGTTTTCTGACCTTAGTCCCTTGTTTGGCAGGTGAACACCACCATCCACACCATGGCCCTCCAGACTAACATCCACTCTAGCGACGCTCGAAATCAGAGGGCCCTCGTTCAGAAGCTCCAGGGCGAGCTCGACCAGGCCCGAGGCGAGCTCCTTCATACTCGCAAGGGGAGCGAGGCCCAAGAGCTGCTCGTCCGTGACCATGGGGCGCATATCGCCAGGCTTTACGAGGAGAGCACGCGCTACAGGGAGGAATCATCGAGGGTGGCAGCGGAGAGGGAGCTCCTTCGCCAACAGGTCCAGGACTTGGAGTCTACACTTCTGGACCGAACTCGGAATTTCGACACCATGGTGGAGGCCGAGCGGGAGAAGGCAGTCTGGGACTTCAAGGACTCCCAGGAGTATCACGACCTCCAAGTGGAGTATGGCTCGAGC